ATCCAGCAGTCACAGTGCGAGGGGCGGGGTACACCCTGGACAGGTCGCAAGTCCATCACAGTATTCAAAACATCACTCTGTGAAATTTCAGAAAATGAAAATTGCTTTGAAGTGTCAGGATATTTAAATAACTTTAAACTATTAGCTTGTCCCGGTAATGATGTCCTTACTGAAGAAATAAAATATTCATTAAACAAGTTAGCAATTTTTTCATGATCAGAAACAAGGAGTCCATTTACTGAGATTTGTGAATTGTTATTAAATGTTTTATTGTTACTTTCACCTGTCACTGACTTAATCGTTTCYCATAATATTTTTGGATTCTTACTGGCTGAAATAATTTGATTTTTAAAATATTGTTGTTTGTCTTTGCGTAATTCAGCAACACATTTATTTCGGTAACTGTTTAAACGAGACAGATTTTCATAAGTTTTTGATATTCTATAAGTTTTCATTGAAGAAGCTTTCAACTTTAGGAGATGTATTATAGAGGCATTCAACCATGGAATTTTATTTTTCCAGACTGGAACTTCACAAGTTGAAATATATTTTTCCTGTATTGTCTCCAACTTATAAAAATTTGACAAAATGCGATTTGGATTTGACAGAGAAATACCCTCATTCCAGTTAGTATTCTCAATCTCAGCATGAAACATGGGTAACTTTGATTTTGGAATCCTTTTAATGAAATTATGCACATGACCTGTAGGTTTCTTAAGGTTTTTTCTAATGACATAAATAAGTGAATGATCTGAGATTGAAGTATTTATAACTCTAGATATGCCATATATGGAGATTTGTGAAAATAAGATCCAAAATGGAATTGCATGTCTTGCCAAATCTTGTTGGTACTTTAACTGTTGAAGCCCTGAGTTTATAGACATTGCTTTCAGGCCTTTGGAAGTTGTCCATGTCAGTGTTTTTTAGAGGATGTGTTAAAACACTGTTTCTATGCAGGAAATAACAGGTAGAGCTCAGTTATTGTTTGTTAGCGGCAGTGGAGGGCACAGTTCCCCTAAAGCACTAATAGAGGAACTAATTTCCTGATTAGTGCTTTAGGGCTTTTGCTATTTTTTAAATTCATTAGTGGATTAGCACTTGCTAAATTTATGGGCTAAATTTAGAAGCACTAACTGGGGTCTTTAAATGTTATTGATCAACATTATTGTTCACAGTTGAGGATGAAAGCTGTCACACATTTTGTTCACATGTGTGTCAGTTATCCACTAGGTCACATGTCAAACTTAAGGCCCATGGGCCAAATGTGGCCCGCAGGTTGTTCCCATTTGGCCCACCAAGGGCACTAAGTGACAACGTTCTGCACACAGTAAAATATTGTCTCATGTTGACTCTGAAGAATGTTTCATGTGTCAACTGGGTTATTTTAGTGCTTTAGAATTAGAGGACCTAAATATTTGAGTTAGTGCTTTAGAATTAGAGGACGTAAATATTTGAATTAGTGCTTTAGAATTAGAGGACCTAAATATTTGAGTTAGTGCTTTAGGGTTAGTACAACTAATATTTAGATTAGTGCTGCCCACCGCTGGTTAACAGTAATCAGCTGCAGCAATTAAATGAGGAGCATGATAATTTCTGTTTATACATGAAACTGAAAGTGTAACTTACCCCAAAATCAACTTTTTTTTTTTTTTTACAAATAAACTGTCCAAATTGTGTCTTAAGGGTAATACCTTGCTATTTTTGACCTAAATTTAACATTTTCGTCTAAAATAGTTTAAATCGTCAATATTTGGTCAAAAATGGCTTGGTGCTGCCATCTAGGGGTTTAAAAAAGACTACCACGTTTGAAGTACCTTGTGACGTGCTGTACTGTGTGACGTGTCACAGTACTGTGCTCAGTATAAAAGGCTCTCTGTCCGGGGTGGAGTGGTGTGTAATCGGCTGCAGTGTCCGGAATGATCCGGGGGACAGAACACTTGTCAGGCCCAGACTGAGCTGTTTTGTGAATTTTAATAGAAACAGGGAACCAAACARAAATGAAAAGATATTCTTTCTGTTCTGTTTTGGACCAAAGTCATATTTTAACAGTCTTTTTATTGCCTGAACTTTACATTATTACATGTTGTATCAGCTAAATGTGAGTTTGCATGTATATCATGAAACTTTACTTTTTACAAAGTCATTTATTTAGAACATTCAGAAATGTTTTCATGAATGTTAGCTTGTCAAAGTAAACTAAAGCTAGCTGTCACGTTGTCTCATCTTAAAAAAACTTTCTCTCCTCCTGGCCACACCTCCTCGCTCACCCCCCCTCCCCTCCCCTCAGAGTCTCCACTTTATGCATTTTTCAAATTTGCGTTGGGGGCGGAGTTATCCTTTCACAGGGGGGTAAGTTACACTTTTAGGGCCACCATAACGTTCATGGGACCCTCAGTGAAATTGAGTTTGACACTGATTTGAAACTTTCACAACTAATGTTGGAAACAAACTGTTTTTGTTCATCCCTTCTACATCCTATAAGACAGAGGTTTTCAAACTGGGGTCCCAGAACCCCTAGGGGTCCGCTAGCCCTATCTTAGGGATCCTCAAAAAATTTAAATAAACTGTTAATTTGGGTTTTATTTTTTAAAAAGCATATGGGGAACAATGCACTAGTAAAATATACATACTAGACTAAACAAACATAATATTCCCATGACATCAGTGTGTGAATGTGAATGGGTGAATGTCTGTTAGTGTAAAGCGCTTTGGGGTCCGGAGGGACTTGAAAAGCGCTCTATAAGTTCAGCACCATTTACGTGTTAGAATTATTTTTAAAAACATCATGGGGTTTATGAGGGGGGTCCCTGGAAATTTTTTCAGCCTTGTTAGGGGTCCCCAGACCCAAAATATTTGAGAATCACTGCTATAAGACATAAAGCCTTTCCATTAAATTGGTTATCTTTTTTTTTTGTGGTTTTATTTTGGTGTTTAACCCTGACTGATCCAGGTTCTGCTCATTTGATCTCAGGCAGGAACTTGATCTCCTCCCCCAGGTGTTTTTTCAGCCATGGCAGTATTTTGAATAGGTCGATGTAAAAGTCTCGGGCTTCAGGAGGAGGGCGGTCGATGCTGTGTTCTGGGTTAGCATCTTTGATATTGTCACACATGTCGATGGTGCCCCAGCTCACCACCCCCACCTGTGGATATGAGCAGAAAATTGAATCCAAATACACGGCTTCATGAACAGACTCAACACTGAGGGGTAAAAAAACAAACCTGAAAGTAGCGCATTCTTTTCTGCAAAAACAGGGATCCGCCAGATTGTCCTGCCAACACAAAGACAGATAGAATTCAGTGCTACTGCTTCAGCACAGCCAGATTAAAGCAGAGTTCAGACCTTTGCAGGCGATGGCACCATGGTACTTTGCGGTGCTTCCAGTGCAGAGGAATCTGTCGGGTATAAACTCATCTAAAGTCACATTCGTGGGCTCTTTTAGCAACCACTTGGCCTTGTCCACACAGCTAGCCCTCTGCAGGAAGAGTTATGTTTTTTTACACGTCTCCATCAGAGGAACGACAGAAAGCAGAAGCGTGGTCTCACCTGACCGTTTGTGTGGATGTGTGTTTGTTTACGTTCTGTCCTCCTGATAAAATAAGCAGGAGTCTCTGCGTGATCCAGAAGCGTCTTCCCTGTTAGGACATCCAAAGAACACTTCAGTCACATTACAGCCTCCTAACTTTAGTTTTCTAGATAAAGTAGATAAAGTTAGATAAAGTCTCGATAAAGTTTTTTAGATAAAAAGTGTTGTCTCTTCAGATGAGTTTGAAGTTACGTACTGTGTTCCTCACAGGTGGAGTTGATTTTCTTCATGGCTCGAGAGGCTGCTATAGTACACGGCAGGCAGATTGGTCTGTTGGGGAAACAGTCAGGAAATGTGAATTATAAAAAAGCACATTTGTTTTTATCATACGTGGGCCTTGAAGAGACACAGACACATTGTCAGTCTTACCTGGCCTTCTGGGTCAGCGGGATGCTGCGGATGGTCCGTACCAGAGCCACATCATAGTCATAAAACTCTGACACATTTCTGTGTTTGAGTGCGTAGACGTCATACTTTGGATGTAGAACTATATAGTTGAATTCCACATGTTCACCACCTGGAAACCAAGGACCGATTATTTAAATAAGAAGGATGGCCTCTGAGCATGATGAGAAATGTGATATTTTCTTTAATTTGGCCAAAGAGAATATCAATATGAGCTCAGAGATTAGGGTTAAAAAGTAATCTAAAATCAAAAAAGCTGTTAATGCAGCTATGGTCTGAAATTACCAACATACATCAATTTCTTCTCTAAAGCTCAGTAGTAATTTGGGACATACTTTTGTAGACCATTTGAAACCATAAATCCAATTTTAGAAAAGTAGGGGAAAAAAAAGTTCAATTCGGCCCTCAGTGCCGGGGGTGTGGGGCTTTAGAGGATAAAGAAGAGTTTAAAAGAATCAAGATCAAGAGACATTAAAGCTGCTGCCTGTGACTCATTCGGGTCACCATCGGTTCACCGCTGTGTCTCACTGCCTGGCAGGATTCTTACTGAGACAGGCAGATCACTGCCAACTTCCCCACCATTCAGCCTCAAGTCTTTAAACTCAGTTATGGCTCAGGGTCTGTATTTATCAAACTTCTTAGAATTACTCTTAAGAATGCTGCTGAGTGGACTTAAGTGTAAAAAAAATCTTAGTTAAAAGTTGAGAGTAAAAGTCAGTTATCAAGCAACTCAGTCTTACTTTAAGCACTCACCAGCTGAGTAGATTTAATGTTTTCTCCAAAACCTACACACAGATATGTCTTTTAGTCCAGCATTATACAAAGTTTTAATTTTTATTTACCTTTGTTTCTTTTGTATATTTCTGATTAAACCTGTTTTCTACATCTTATAACTGAGAATAACACTCAGGTGGGGAGAAGGACAGCTGTAATCTGTCTCCTCGGTTCATCTCAGACCCCTAGTGGCAACTCTTAACACTTAAGAGTCCTCTGCAGCAGTCTTAACTTTTCTTGAGAGTAAGAGTGATTCTTAGACTTAAGAATTTTGATAACTGGCACTTAGACTTAAGTCTCAGGGTAGGAGCAAATCTTAAGAAATTTTCAGCACTTAAGTCCAAAAATCCACTCTAAGAAGTTTTATAAATACAGGCCCTGATAATTAAATTAATGTGACAATTTATCCCAAACCAGCTTAGAGGAGGTTTTTACATTTAATTTTTATTTTTCATTAATTGTATTTATAAAACAACATACTGTATTGTGCTAATCAATGATGACACACAACTGCATGTTTCAAACTAAAAACTTTACTAACTTTACCCAATGAACAGGTGTAATTATGATAAACAAC